TGGAAAGGCAACAAGACATATTTACAGTTTCCACCTAGACTCTGCAAGAAGGCATGGAGTCAGTTTCCACTTCGCAGCAGAGAAGAGATAATATTCAAAATGACTGCGTTTAAAAAAAAAAAAACTGCTGTGCAACATGAAGAAAAAAATACCTTGGTACCATCATACTATATATCAGAAACAAACAGGATTTCTCTCTAGTAAATTATACATCAGGGAAGTAGGGTTTCTCACAAGGCTGGACAAATATAGCCTGAAAAAGGGCTGAGTCAGACGGTGGTGGTATATAAATAGAGACACAGCAGTACTGGTTCTCCTTTCACTTTGGTTATCTTAAAGTACACACAGTATTGGAAAGCAAAAGGATGGGGAAAAAGTCATGAAAATGCTTTCACTCTCCATGGGTCTGACTCAAAAACCTGTTACACTATCTAGCCCAGCCACATGATTGAAGAACAATGTAGAGAATAAAAAGTTAATTCATAAGGCAAACAAAAAAGTAGCTGAAGCATTAGGTATAGAAGATAAGTCAACCTGGGAAAGGAGGAGTTTAATAAACAGCCTTCAAAACATGTGGACATCAATCAAAGAGGAGGTTTTCCTTTGCTACTAAAAATAGCAATGAAAACTATTGCTATTAGTGAAAACACTGGGCCCTGTAGGCCCAGCACTTAGAGAGGCTGAGGTGGGAGGATTGCTTGAGGCCAGGAGTTTGAGGCCAGCCTGAGCAAGAGTGAGATCCCATCTCTAAAAATAGTTGGGCACAACGGCATGCACCTGTAGTCCCAGTTACTTGATAGGCTGGGGCAGGAGGATCCCTTGAGCCCAGGAGTCTGAGCTATGATGCCACTGCATTCTAGCCTGGGTGACAGAACAAGACCTAGTCTAAAAAAAAAAAAAAAAAAAAAAAAACTGGAAAGGATCATCCCCTATGACATGTATGATGATATTTATCACAGCAACATTAGTTATAATGAAAAAAAAAGCTATGACCCAACTGTTCAGTGGAGCAATGATTAATTATGTCAATAAAGAAAAAAATGAAGGGTTGGTCAGGCATAGTAGCTCATACCGGTAATCCTAGAGCTTTGGAAAGGGCAAAGAGGGAGGACTGTACGAGGCCAGGAATTTGACACCAGCCTGAGCAACATAGGGAGATCCTATCTCTACAAAAGATTTTTTTTTTTTTGGAGACAGAGCCTCAAGCTATCCCCCTGGGTAGAGTGCCATGGCATCACAGCTCACAGCAACCTCCAACTCCTGGGCTCAAGCG